CGTCATGGGGCTCGTGTTTCCGAGGGAAGGGCCGGCGATTAGGACGATCACCGGCAGCATGAGGTTCGGGGTGAACACTTTCGTATTGCCGATATACTTCGGGTACGCAGGGGTGCAGACTGATTTATTTATGCTGAGGGACAAGATTGTGCTGATCACGGTGGGGATAATTGTGATGTGCGGGACCGTGGGCAAGGTCGTCAGCACGCTCCTGGTTGCTAAGCACTTGAAGATGCAAGTGCAGGAGGGGGTGGTGCTGGGATTTCTGCTGACCGTCAAAGGGCACGTGGAGCTTATCGTTATTACTCTCGGAAGGCAGTACGGGGTATGGAAAATATTCGATCTCTTGCAGAGTAATTTTATATATTTTCATTAAATAATAAGTTATGAATATATATACATGCATTTATTTATTCTTTTTGTATCGTACGCATGCACGGTATCATATGCTAAACTTGATTAAGAATACATCTAATTAAAACAATATTTTATGTACGCATAAAACATGATCCAGAATCTGAGAGGAAAAACAAAACATTGGTACTTTAATAGACGAGGGATTTTATCACTTTTTGTTTTAACTTTTCCTTCTCTTATATATTATTACTAGTGTGCACTATGGTCTCCATTTTTTATTTCTCCTACATTAATTCTTTATTTAAATGCAGTTTTTGTTAGTGCTACAGTAACATTTTTAAATTCAACATCCTCTCGCATGAGCTACAGTAATAATGCTACAATAATATTTTTAAACACTGCAGTTCTCACTTGTGCTACAATATTTATTGTAGCATAAATAGTGAATATTGATCCTCCCATTATTATAGAGGAATAGATATATATTTTTTTAAGCTGTCTTTCAAAAAGGACACAATACCTCCCTTGTTAAGAAAAGCGTAGGGGACATCACATTTTCAGCGAATGTACTAATTGCAAGTTTTGTATTTGAAAGGAACCATGACCATAAACTAATAGACTATATGAATAAATGAATGAAGTATCCACTATTCCTTCATTAATTAAATTAAAGAATCTAAGTCTCAAGGGGGGGAAATCCCAGTGCATGACATACTATTTATTCATGAATGTGTGTGCTAAAACACATTGTATGCATATGACATCTGTTCTTATTATGTTTTTCAAAACTTAATTTCAAAACTTAATATTTAAGGCCGAAGGATGTTATGCATACATATATACGTATATATCCGATTTTTTCGGAATTTCATGCTCATGGTTGCCAGATATTCAGCAAGGAGATCTACCAAGCCCTCCTCATCAGCATGATCTTCAACAACATGACCACCGGCCCCACCGCCTCCTACTTCGTCCGGCGCGAGCGCTGTGCTGTCAAACACCAGCCTGGTCGGCCTCGAGTTTCGCTTCGATCCTCGACGAGAGCTGCCGCATGACTATTCTGGCGTCCACCTGCCCCCCACGACATGCCCCCCATTCTGCAGACCTCATCCCAATCTCGACACCGCACGCAAAACCGTGCCATCCGTCGCGTTCCACGTAGCCCTCCTCCAGCCTCGTCGAATTCACGGACGCCCACCCCCTCGCTCGTCGCCCATCCCTACTACAACCAACTCCAAAAGCAACACGGACAGCCGTCCCGCCTCAATCGGCGGCCAGAACGTCGGAGCGCCCGCGCTAAGTGCAACGCTTGCGTGACGTGAGCACCACCTGTCGCGCCTCTGAGTCCTCACCTCGACTGCGAGAGTCGCGCATCATATCTGAGCGTCCACTCCCCCCCACGACATCCCGCTAGCCATTCTCAAGGAGCAGAATCATCCAATCTCCACCGCCACCAACGCGTAGCCATCGCTCGGTCCCTACCTCTCTCCACCGTCCTCGCGAATTCAACGGACCCCTACCCGCCCGTCTCGTCCGTCACCCTCTAACAACCAACTCCAAAACAACACAGGACAGCCTCAAACGGCGGACCAGAACGCCCGCCTAGTCAACGCTTGCTTGACATTTTAAAAAAAGAAACGAAGGTACAATTCGACAGTGACCGGCATCCGTCTCTTCCTGGCTACCCTGCATACAGCCACACGCAATATGGCGAAGGACCGCGAGCGACCCATGATCGTGGCTCCATAACTGCCGGAAGACCGAGTCTCGATGCAAAGATCGGCGGCAGGGAAGAGGCACGTGATGGGAGTTTGCAACGTTAATATCCACAGCGTGCGAGTGACGGTGGGGATACTCGGGTGACTAGAAGGGTGGAGTGTTCGCCAAGGCGGCAGGGAGGAGGGGAGGGAAGAAGGACAGGGTGGTGATGTTTATGGGAACGAGCCGGAAATGACGGGAGGCGTGGCGTATGATTTTACCTGGCAATGAACCCAGTGCCGTGTTCCAGTACGGTGTGAGTTCTGAAATGGCCGGCGTTGGCGGCGACGACGAGGGCTGGGAGTGTGAGGCGAAATACGGGGGAGTGATGAGATCGATGGTCGTAGTGGATATGGGAATTGTGATGCGATGATGGAGGTGGAGGGGGCGTCTGATCCTGACGAGGAGTTCATGGCAGATGTACGTAACAGGTAAATTAGTCTTTTTTTTTACTGCTAGATTTTGGGAATTTTTTTTCCAGAGTAATTAATGGAATCATAAAGATTATATGTCTTTATCAATCGATAATTATGGACTACATATACAAACCATAAGTTGATTAACTTTCTATAAAGTTTATAAAAAATGAGCGCGAGGTAGCAACTCATACTGTTAAGTGAACTGTCAAGAGATAAAGCGATACCCAGCTTGCTATTTGTATTGGAATAATAGCAAGCTGGGTGCGTGTTTCGTAACCTAGCATTTTGCATTACGAAACTCGGTTTCTCACGAGAAATTGTCTGTGAACAGCAATCTGGTCTTACTAAGTCTAATGAGCTCAATTTAATATGCTGCTCTTATAGGTTCGTATCAACGAGAACGATAAAGTACGAGGAAAAGATCGTTGAGAAATCAGAAGAAATGTTGAGCGAAATCACTTCAATGGAGGGAATGTACTCGTTGTTCATCGTCGGCAGGCAGAGGCAGGGGTCGACGTCGCAGCTGACCATCGGGATGAGCGAGCCGGAAGATTGCCAAGAATTAGGCGTGATCGGGAATCTACTTGCCTCCTCCGACTTTATATCGACCGGCTCGGTGCTCGTTGTGCAGCAATATTGTAAATCCAGAGCAGCCAGTTTCTCTGTGAAGGTTGTGCCCTCGAAATAATAGATCAATTAATGCGCAAGATTGTACGCCATCGGTGAGGTCCGAAGGCGATTTTTTATTTAGCGTAAATTTTCTAAAGTTTTCCTTTGTGAACTAGGATTTTTGTTGTAACGATGCTACGTTCTCTAACCTCACTCGGTGGAGGATCTGGAAACGTTTTTAAGG